CTCTGACTTCATCAACGCCTCACTAGTTATAAAGTCGTTTTCTAGCCCACTATTCAAGAGTCAATCCTGCTCTAAATATTTTGTTGGCATCCTAATCTCTCATGTTTCACTCTCTCCTGTTGCAAGGGTTACCCTCAAGGAGAGAATAGACACTCGTATTTAGTTGTCAGCCTCAGGTAACGTGATGGCCTTCAAGATCCGGCTGCTGTTGTTTATATACCTCAGACAAACAACACTAACATAGAGATAGATCATAGGGCAATATAATACGTAAATCTTGCATGAGTTTCTGCCATCTCATAGTTCTGTTTCTCAGGGCCAGCATCTAGCACGGAACGGTGAACGACTACTGGCGGATGATCTGGGAGCTAGACACAGCACCATCGTCATGGTGACCCATCTAAAGGAGAGAAAAGAGTAGGAGAGCGGGAGTGCAACCGATGATGTGTCGATCATATAAACCCTGGTCCCAAGACAATCTACACTACCCTAGCCCAAGACATCTAGCACTGCCCCACTCAGCCCAAGACAGGGGCACAGAGAGTAGAGGGGCATGTCAATCTGCAGGACCCACTTCCATCTTTACTGTACTTCTGAGTGCGGTCCATGCGATATTTGATGAGGCAACCTCTGCTGCGCTAGACAAACCCTGCATACAAGTATAGCACAGGACTTTGACACACAGCGAAGAATTCTCTTGAACCGATTTGTGATAGCTCTCTCAGTATGGATATCATTGTGTTCAGGTCTAGTATACATAGAGCTTACTACATAGGTATCGATGAGAAAGATATTGTCTTATGTAATCCTGTTGCTATATTTGAGACCTCTCTATGTAATAGTCGATGACATGAGTTCTTATTTGTATTTGTTTCGGATTTTGAGAGGCGCGTTCATTCATTACTACTTCTGTGTCTCTGTATGCAGACGATCTTACTAAAGCAAATTGTCATAGCGCCTAGTATGTGTAATCAACCCTACTTAGGTAATAAATACGTAGATCTTGAAATTCGCGTTGAGCTGCAGCCACTTGTGACAGGGTATGAGCGTAACATGTCTCAGTCGCTGCATAGAGGTGCTGAGCACCTCCTTAAATGGCTAGACAGAAGTAACCGACAAATGACCTTAGGTTTGAGCGATTTACTCTATGGGAGATATGGAATGTTTTTGCTTCCTCTGGATGAAGATATGGGTCGTGACCAGTGGATGTCTACGGACTGCTCTTCTGTTGCTTGCAAGCTACTATAGTGTATCCTTACGAAGGATGGGCAAGCCAGAGAGCGCATGTTTTCGAGTACGCAGTTTGGGTCTCGTTTCTCTTCCAGCGATTCCCTGCTTGAAGCATGAATGCCTCAGAGAGCATGCGCCCAGCTCTGAGGGTCAATTCATGACTACAAACACCGATGCTCTGCCAGAAAAGCATCACCCAGCTGTGACAGAACAGACCACAGTGGCACATGATGTCATGGGAAGGATGGAATGCCCTCTCAAGTACCCTTACTACTCTGCAAGGTATCTGCGCTTATCCTCTGGCTTTCCATTCCAATGCGATCGCGAACAAGCATCTTCAGTCTTGATCACAAAAACAGAACGGAGTTCAGACATTAGTATAGGGAATGGGAGACCTGAGTAACAGTCATTACCCACAAACATTCTGGTGGCAAAGGGGTCCTGTCCTGCTAAAGCAGCGCGTACTCCAGACAAACTCATTGCCAGGCCAAGTCAGCAACCTATGACCATCTAAAGTGAGAGGTTGCTCCGCTGGCATAGCCAGAAAGGTTATCGCCTTGAGTTGCTCTGTCTAAAAAGGCTGTGTACAGGTTTTTCATGTGTTATTGGTTCAGTATTGTTTCATGATGAATTCTGTTCGGGTTAATTAAAATATTTTTTTGTGTATGTTGGTGTTTAATTTGTGTGCAACAGTACAGGGAAAAGGGAAATTATACACAAAAAATTTACTTGCGATGCAGAAAAATGTCCTAATATGACCTAGATTGATTCAGAGCATGTAAAGTCCTCTGGCTTCTGATAAGATAAGATAGATAACTTTTATTAATCCTGTAAGGGAATTGCACATGTTTATAGCAGCAGGGTGATAGGAAAAGGAATAGGAACTATATATACATACAATTTACAGTAAATAGAAACAGTTGAATACAAAGATAATAGAATAAGTAAAGTAAAAATGAAATAAGGGGGGATTCGGGGGCTTCGGCGGACCTCGGACCCCCGCCGGAAAAAAATTGCCTCCTCCGCTCGGCTGCTACTACTTTCTATAACATCAAACTCTTAGACTGGTCTTAAACACATTTGCCTCTTGTCTACACTCCAATCAATCAATCAATCAATCAATCAATCAATCAATGTTTATTTATATAGCCCAATATCACAAATGTTACATTTGTCTCAGTGGTCTTCACAGTTTGTACAGAATATCAATATGACAATACGACACCCTCTGTCCTTTGACCCTCACATCGTACAAGGAAAAACTTCCAAAGAAAACCCACAGTTTAAAGGGGAACATGGGAGAAACCTCAGGGAGAGCAACAGAGGAGGGATCCCTCTCCCAGGACGGACAGACGTGCAATAGATGCCGTGTGTGTCCAATCACATAAAGGCACCATCTTCAAATTCATACAGACTTCAAAGCGGTTCATCAAAGAAAAAGGTGCTATTTATATCAAAATATGTATAAAGTCTAATGTTTGAATTGTTAAAATGACCTCACATAATTTACATTGATCTTTCTCTCAAGGTGCAGTAAAAAAGAGATCTCCAAGAACACTTGAAAGACTTGGATATATAAATAAAAGGTTTATGTTTGAAGTTAGTACATGTGTTTGTACTAGGGCACTCGGCTATGTTATATATAAATCAATGAAGTAGAACAATTTGGGGATTTTGAAAGCTGATTGCAAAACTGAATTATTTTCTTTCAATGTTTTACTTTTTAAAAAAATATTTATTATATTTGTTGGACTTTAGTCTTGCCATCTCCCAAAAAAGATTCTGAGGCATTTTACGAATGGATACACACAATTTATTGGAGAATCTCCCTCCAGATGGCACTTTGGGATTTAGCCTTTGCAGACCATTTACATGCCCAAAAACACATCACATTACAGAAAGTTGAATACCCCTAAAAGCATAAAAGGGCCCCTTTAATAATCACCCCTATTGGGCTGCTGCTGGTACCAGGCTTCACAATTACGGTCAGTCGGCCTCTAAATTTGAGGAACCCACCGTATTTGCTTTCTATTGTCTGAGAACAGCTTAACTGACAAACATGCAATTCCCTATCAGAAATACACAGTTTAACAAACAGTGGAGCGAGTGGTTGGGATACCTTTGATTGGGAGTTCCATTTCCAGACTAAATAATGAGCGGTGCCGTTCCCTCAGGCTCCCATCCTCTGCAGACTGACAGGCTTTCTTGTTGAGAGTGCTACAATGAAGATTGAAGCATACATTACACAGTCTGATGTATTGGATAAATGGTTCTGCAGTTCCCATACATCTTCATTATGAGCCCCTTATTGAATCAATGGTTGAAACATAATGGCAAGCACCCATTTAAAAAGCGGTCCATG